ACATTATAGTGTTTTAATTGTTTGTTTTATTAGTGGGCACAGCTTACTAATCTGCTAACAGCTAACAGCAAAGCTATCCTTTTGTTAAGCAGATAAGCATTTTTGCTAACTCTGGAAACTGTTAGTGGCAGATTAGCTTTCACTAAATGTAGTTATGTTAACATTAAGTAAAAAACAAAAACAAATATGCCCACACACATGCAGCACTAAACGCCTGCGTCATGCAACGTGTGTGTGTGTGCGTCACATCATTAGCATTTTGTGTGTCCACCTGTGTTAGCCTTCGGCTGGAAGGAGACAAGTTCTGTTTTTATTTAACATAAGAAAATTAGCAGTTAGCTTTAGCTCCTGCTGACATGTTTAGTGTTTGTAAAGCTAATTAGTTAGAGAACTGGTGTTTAGCAAACKAACTTTTTGGTTAGCTGTGCCCACCACTGTTATTGTMTCAGTAAAAAGGCACAAATGTTTACATTTTAATCTCACCTGTAATATTTTATAAACTTCCTGTGACCTTGCACAAATCTATTTTTTGGTATAGATCKCAACAAATAAACAAGATAAAATCAGTCACAATAATTTCATTTTAATCCTCCTGTGGTTAGTTTATTTTCTTTTCTTGAATTCTTGGTATTTAGTAACGTAACCACATCACAGGTGGTTAGGCTGCAAAATGAAGCGTGCTCAAACATCTGCACCACCTGCAAGCTTCTGTCGTGTTCTGTTTCCTGCTTGCTCTCTAACGGAGTTAAGAATCGTTCAAAGAATCATTGCTTTACACCAGAACCCATCTGAACAAACAGCCTCACACTCATGAACTCCAAAGTAGTTTCCGACGCCGTGACCCGTGCCGTGGCCGTAGTTCAGGCCCAGCTCCCACAGAGCCCGGCGACCCAGCATCTCCATGTTCACACCTGGTGGATAACAAGAAAACCCCTCAAACATGCTGCTGCAGAGATATGTGGACGAGCTGAACACGTGTGGAGGAAGAGGGCTCTCTAGTGGTGACRCAAGGACACGTTTCAGGGGAAAGGTGTTCAGCTCACCTTTTGTCCCTGAGGGGAAAACGGTTCTGGAGATCTCAATGTTTCCCATGAGCACTCGAGTGAAGGCCTCCTGTGAGCAAAACACAAGGTGAATCTTTATGCATCAACGAGGGCTTCACCATAATTAAATGCTCGTTCAGTGAAAACKTCACCCTCTGCATCGTTGTTGGTGTTCCCCAGTGAACGGTCCGAGTGATGTCAGTGGTTCCGTCTCTGAGAACCAACACGAGTCATATTTCACAAGCAGGAGACGTGAAGTGAAACTGGAAGAGAGCGCTTCTTTTACTCACAGATACTGTCCACCGGAGTCAACGAGGTACATCTCATCAACCGTCAGCCTCCGGTTGGTTTCAGATGTCGGGCTGCAGCAGGAAAACAAAAACAGGAAGTGAGAGTAACATTTGTTTAGGGTGATAAAGTCTTTACAAAACTGACAGATTTAATCATTTTCTAAAGAACTGCTCAGATGATGAAACGAGGAAACATGACAGATCTTTGGCAGATTGCTTCATTAAGCACATAAACTAGGAAAAGTGTCAAACATGTCATTTAAAAGAACTTTAAATGGAAAAACTGAAACTATTGTTTAGATATTTATAAATTATTTACTATGTGGAATATTTATTCACATCTGAAGTATATTTGTTAAAGGTTTAGTTTTAGCTTGAACCCAACTGAATCATTTAGAACAAAAATAAATGAGTCAAGAACAAAAAAGTTGAGTAATTCTGATGAAGAAAGTCAGCAAATTTAAAATCCTGTCAGACTTTTTTTTCCATTTAGATAAAAACATTTTTGTTGCCGTCTGATAAAGTAAGAACAAACTGTTCAGGACGAAACCATCCTGGTGGTGCAGAGCAGAGGAACAAACATTTACAGGAACAACTTTTCAGCTGTTTGAAGAAACTCTCATGGGTCTTTCACTTTTTTTTAGATTAATATTTTTAATGGCAGGTTTTTATTTACACTCACCGCCATGACAGGTGGATGATTGTGTAACTGCTTCTGTGTGTGTGTGTGTGTGTGTGTGTGTGTGTGTG